GTTGCCTAGGCTGGCCTCAAACTTAAAGAGATCTGACTGAGTGCTGGAATTAAAGTTCGCCACCACCGCTTCCTGGCTACATTTTCTGTGTGTGCCACGCCCGGCATGGGTTTTAGAGCCCTAATGTAGACAAACTCTATGCTAGACACAGCTTTGAGCTTCATACGTATTGTTGGGGGAGGTGAAGGGAGATGATCAGAAGTTCAGCGCCATCCTCAGCTACATAGGGAGTTCTGAGGCCAGCCTGGGCTCCTAGAGACCGTCTCAAAATAAAATAAGGCACTTTTTCGCATACTACATTTTTTTGAGACTGAGTGTTGCTGTGTATCTTACAAACTATCAATTTTCCTGTGTACTAGTTGGTTTTGTGTGTCAACTTGACACAGCCTACAGCCATTAGAAAGGAAGGAGCCTCAGTTGAGGAAATGCCTCCATGAAATCCAGCTGTAAGACATTTTCTCAACTGACCAATGGGGGAGGGTCCAGCCTGTGGTGGGTGCTGCCATCTCTGGGCTGGTGGTCCTGAGTTCCGTAAGAAAGCAGGCTGAGTAAGACTTGGAGAGCAAGCAATAAGCAGCTTCCCTCCATGACTTCTGCATCAGCTCCTGCCTCCAGGTTCCAGCCTACGTTCTCTTCCAGCCTAGTTCCAACTTGAGTTCCTGTTGTGACTTTCTCCAATGATGGATTATGATGTGGAAGTATAGGCCAAATAAACCCTTTCTTCCCCAACTTGATTATTGGTCATGATGTTTTATCACAGCAACAGAAACCCCAACTAAGACATCCTGCCTCAGCCTCCTGAATGCTAGGATTACAAGTTTAAATCACTATGCCTGTCTCTCCTACATATTTAAACTCATTTCTTGATTATATCTAATGCCTGATACAATGTGAGTCTGTGTAAACAGGTGTTGGGAAATCAATGGCAAAAAGTTTATATATGTTCACTACAAATACATATTTTAAAGCAAATATTTTCCACCTGGCTGGCTAAATTCCAGAAGACAGAGTTAGCGTCATCCACACATTTGGTCCTTTGAGTGGCCAGTGTCTGACACCTCACCGGACCCTGAGAAGGTCACCGTTGTTGTTTGTGGTAAGAGATCAGCCAAGAGGTGTTCCAGCCAGCAGGAGCTCCTCACAGCTTAGAATACTGTCCAAATTCCACTGGGTTTTTTTTGTTTGTTTGTTTGAGACAGGGCTTCTTTGTGTAAACCCTGCCCCCTGGCTGCTGTCCTGGAACTCAATCTGTAGATCAGGCTGATGTTGAACTCACAGAGATCCGCCTGAGTGCTGGAATTAAAGTTAGACACCACTGCTGCCTGGCTACATTTTCATTTTTTCTTTTTCTTTTCTTTCTTTTCTTTCTTTTTCTGAGATAGGGTTTCTCTGTGGTTTTGGAGGCTGTCCTGGAACTAGCTCTTGTAGACCAGACCGGTCTTGAACTCACGGAGATCCTCCTGCCTCTGCCTCTTGAGTGCTGGGATTAAAGGCTTCGCCACCACCGCCCGGCTCATTTTCATTTTTCAAATCCACACTAATCTTTGCCCCACAAACTTCAGTATTAGGTAACTTCTTTTTTTTATTACTCTTTCAGCTTCAAAACCCAGCCCTGTGGGCTTCCTTTGTTTCTGCTCTCTGGTGACCTCTCTTTCCCAATCCCAGCCCTCTCATTCCCACTCCCTCAGGGGGTTCAGATTTCTACCCCACTTGGCTAAGAAATATCCTTAACTAAGACTCACCAGATTCAAGTTCAAACTTTTAAAAGCTCCACAGGGACATGTCCACAATGGCTGCAATGCCACAAAAGCACTTAGAAACACAAAGAGTAACACTTTTTACTATTTACTGAAGACAATTCCCTTGGAAGCCCCACAGAATCCCCGTGTGTGAAATCTGAATAACCACCGCCATGAGTTAAAGGTTTCTGGGTAAAGTCCTTGAAAGGAGCCACAATACCTCCATCTTCCATTTGGGGCTTACTTCTGGGCCACAATTCTGCTCTAAGAGCTGAAAACTGTCACATGCCTCAAGAGGTCCCTTCCCTGGTATTATAAATTGGGACCATAAGCTTTTTGAATGTAAAGAATTGTCTTAATCTATTTTTGTAACCCTTAGTCAGGTACCTGATATAGGAACCCAGGGCACATTTCCAGAAGCATCCCTTCAACTGTATTCTTTGCAAATGATGGCAAGCCGCTAGGGAGCATCAATATATTCAATATATGCTTGTTGACAGAATTAATGAGGCATATCCACTTTCCAAGGTTGACATCAAGTATAATAAGACACCCTGCAACTACCAACCATCAGACTAACTTAAGAGACTGTTACATGTTGCTTAGAAGAGCTAACACAAGATCAAGGGATAAACAAAGCTGTTTACCCCGACAACCCTAACAAACTAGGCTTGACTACCTGTCCTCTATAGGTCAATTGGAGATAAAAGCAATAGCAAAAACCAGGCAAAGGGCGCGTTTATTCAATGTGACCATGGTAGGAAGAGAAACAATAAGGTTCAGTGGCCCCATATTTAGGGTCTTGACCTGAAATTTAGGTGTTATTATTTATTTTTTATGTGTATGGGTATTTTGCTTGCATGTATGTCTGTGCTGCACAGGTGTCCTGCTGCCAAAAGAGGGTGTCTGATCCCCAGAAACTGGAATTATGGATGATAATTAAGCCTGGGTCCTTTGGAAGAGCAGCAAGTGCTCTTAACCACTGAGGCATCTCTCCAGCACCTAGGTTTCAGTTTAAACAAACAGCAAAGGTAGGGCTGGGGAGATGCCTCAGTAAATAAGAGCATGTACTGTGTGCGTGCGTGCATGCATGCATGAATGCGTGTTTGAGACAGAGACGCATTGTGTGGCTCTGGCTAGCCTGGAGCTCTCTCCAAGCTGGCCTTGAAAACATAGAGATCCACCTTCCTCTTCCTTCCCAGTGCTGGGGTTAAAGATTCATGCCACCACACTTGGCTGTACTGCTCTTGTATAGAACTGGATTTACTTCCCAGAACCCACAAAAACTCCAGCTCCGAAGGATCTGACAGTTTACATTGGTACATGCACATATCTACACACAGATTTTTTTGTTTGTTTTTCTTTTTTCTTTTTCGAGACAGGGTTTCTCTGTATAGCTTTGGAGGCTGTCCTGGAACTAGCTGTTGTAGACCAGGCTGGTCTCGAATTCACAAAAATCCACCTCCCTCTGCCTTTTGAATGCTGGGATTAGAGGCATGTGCCACCCTGCCCAGCTGTTTGTTTTTCAAGACAGGGTTTCTCTGTGTAGCCCTAACTGTCTTAGATCTAGTTCTGCAGATCAGGCTGACCTGGAACTCACAGAGATCTGTCTGCCTCTGCATCCTGAGTGCTAGAATTAAAGATGTATACTGCCACCCACCTGTACTACACACAGATATTTATGCACACAAATAACTTTTAAAAATTAGATCTTAGCTGGGTGTTCGTGGCACACGCCTTTAATCCCAGCACTCGGGAGGCAGAGGCAGGCGGATCTCTGTGAGTTTGAGACCAGCCTGGTCTACAGAGCCAGTTCCAGGACAGCCTTAAAAAAAAAAAAGTAGATCTTTAAAAAGGAAGGTGTGTATTAGTTCCTATCATTTTGATGATTTTGTAGTGTCTAGTGTTTTTAGTTTTCCTCGCTTAACCACTATGTTAATGCTGTTTGTTTTGTTTCCTGTAGCTTTTAGAATGTGTTTATTCTTCATTTCAGTCTGTAGTATTCCTGTTAGTGTCCTCTGTAGGACTCCCTTAATAGCCATAAATTATTTTAGCCTGCATTTCTTATGAAAAGCTATTCTTTCATTCCCTTCATTCATGATTCATAGTTTTGCTGGGTATAGTAGTTTGGGGTTGGCACTTGTGGACTTTCAGAACGTGAAGTACACCACTATTATTTTATTTTTCATATTCATAATTTATTTTTATTTCATGTTCATTGGTGTTTTGCTTACATGTATATCTGTGTGAGGGTGTCAGAAGCCCTGGAACTGGAGTTATAAACAGTTGTGAGCTGCTATGTGGTGTTGGGAATTGAACCCAGGGCCTCTGGAAGAGCAGACAGTACTCCTAACCACTGTGCCATCTCCTTAGCCCCATTTACTTTTTTGTTTGTTTTGTTTTTTTTAGTCAGGTGTTCTCTATGTAACAGTCCTGACTGTGAGTTTGAGGCCAGCCTGGTCTACAGAGTGAGTTCCAGGACAGGTTCAAAGCAACACAGAGAAACCCTTCTCAAAAAAACAAACTGGTGGTGGCGCCTTTAATCCCAGCACTCAGGAGGCAGAGGCAGGCGGATCTCTATGAGTTCGAGACCAACCTGGTCTACAAGAGCAGGACAGCCTCCAAAGCCACAGAGAATCACTGTCTTGAAAAACCAAAATAAACAACAACAAAAAAAAAAACCACCAAAAAACAAACCAGTGTTGAAAGAAAAGGTGTGATACGTGTGAGTGTGTTTGTGCTCGTTTGTTAGAGTGGGTGTAGGCATGTGAATGACATGTGTGCACGTGGAGGGCAGCCGGTGACCTCGGGTTGTCAGCCCTCACCTTCTGCCTTGTTTGAGTCAGGGTCCCTTTGCTGCAGTTAGGCCAGGCTAGCTGGCCTGAGAGCTTGCATTTAGTGCCTGCTGGGATTACAGAACTTGTCCTACTGCATCCTGCCTTTGCATGGGTTCTGGGGTTCCAAACAGGTTTCCACACAAATGCTTTTACTCTCTTATCCATCTCCCTATCCCTCCCTCCACCACTGAGTTTTTAATTTCAAGTTTGGATTTCCATCAGTGTTTCTATCTCTTCACTGAATTTATGTCCTCAGTTATCTTCCAATTTCATTCAATTCTTTGTCTTTTCTTGGAATTCATTGAGGATTTTATTCCTGTCACATTTAAACTCATTTAGGTATTTATTCATGTCCTCTTTGAATTCTTTGAACATATTTACATGTCTTTCAATTTTCTTTCTACCTTCCTTCTTTGCATTTTTTTTTAGCCTGGAACACTTCAGGAATTTGCATGTCATCCTTGTACAGGAACCATGCTAATCTTCTCTGTATACTTCCAACATTTGTATATGTGCTGCCGAAGTGAGCACCCTTTTCTTTAAAAATTTTATTTATTTTTGGTTTTTCGAGACAGGGTTTCTCTGTATTGCTTTAGAGGCTGTCGTGGAACTTGCTTTGGAGACCAGGGTGACCTCGAACTCACAGAGATCTGCCTGCCTCTGCCTCCAAAGTACTGGGATTAAAGTCTTGTGTCACCAACACCTAACATTATTTTTATTTATTTATTTTGAGACAGGGTTTACTCTGTAACAGTCCTAGCTGTCCTGGAACTTTCTCTGCAGACCAGACTGGCCTGGAACTCATAGAGCTTTGCCTGCCTCTGCCTCTTGAGTGCTGGGGTTAAAGGCATGCGCCACCATCACCCGATTCCTTTTTTGTAAATCTACCAGTGACACTTAACCCTGCACAGGGATTTGTAGCTCCCAGAGGTTCCTTCCAGGTCAAAGGAAGTTCCAAAAATATCTAGAGTTGCTAGTCTCTTTGTGAGAATAGGGGTACGTGGTGGTGGCGTGGTGGTGGTGGGGAAGCAGGTGTCCTCCTGTGGCTCATAGATCCAGTTCTGTGCACAGCTCTTGTAATTCCCCAGCTTCTCAGGATGGACTACAAGCTCGCCTCCTTCTCTGCTGTGAGTGATGTTCCTGCCAACTTAGATGCAGAAGCCTCCATGGATGGTCCCAGACTCAGAGTCTGCAGGGTTGGTCTCTCTGAGCATCATCACCTGACCTGCAACATTCAGCCCCTCCCAGACCTAGCAACCATTGGTCCTGGGTGTATGGATTTCACCAGGCCAGTAAAGAAGGGGCGGTCCCTCAGGCGGATGCAGTGCTCCTTGAGAAGTCCTCTGAAACCTGCATGCATTCCAAGCCAATAAGGCAGAATCCCTTTGGTTCAAATTGTTTGAAGATCTCTCCCGTGAGCCCCCACTTCAGGCTTGGTAGCAATGAGCTGCACTTACTGTTCACCGTGGTCTCCTTGAGAACCCAGGTCTTTAACTCTGGCTCTAACTCAAAGTCTTTGGAATTTTATCCATGCTGTTCTCATCGTTGGCCATTACTATCCGTACTATGGGATGCTTGAAGTTTAGTCTTGGGGACCCATGTCTTGCCTCTTGATTGGGATAGCTGAGGTAGTGCCAGCTCAGCTAGGGGCAGGTGTACTTCTGATATCACTAGTGGGTGATCTCAGGGGGTGAGACTGGCAGGGTTGGCAGGGATGTGGCCTCTGACCTGAGGCATAGGCAGGTGCTCTAAGCGGGTACCTAAAACCTGGGAGTTGGGATGTGACATAATGGTGGTCTCTGACCTGAGGAAAGAGGTAGGTGTACCTTGTGGGTTATGAGACTACAAAGTTTAGGAATTGGAGGGAGGGGATAAGACCCTGGAGGTTAAGGAGTCAGGGTTGGGAAGCAGTAGATGTGTGGACTCTGAAATGCTGGGGGACAAGGTCCATGTAGGTTCAGTAATGTTGTAGGGTAGCATGCTGGAGGGCAGGAGATGTGGCCTTTGACCTGGGTGCAAGTTCTGCTCAGGCCCTGAGATACTGGTGAGTGAGCTGCTCATGGCTTCTGTACATTTGGGGTTAGGGTACCGGAGGGAGGGAAGGAGGGAAGGAGGGAAGGAGGGAGGGAGGGAGGGGTGGCCTCTGACCCGGGTAGTGTGCTCCACTTAGGTTCAAAGGTCCTGGGGAATGAGCTCCAACTGAGTCCAGAGGATAGAAGGTAAAGCTTCTAGCCTGGAAAGCTGGGCCTGAGTTTTCTGAGGAACTGGGAAATGAATTCCACCCAGGTTAGGATGCCAGAGGGAGGAGGTGTGACCTCTAACTTGGGAAGCAAGCTTTTCTCAGGTCTTGAGCCCTAGGGAGTGCTTACATATTCTTTTTTGTTTGTTTTGGTCTTTTGAGTTAGGGTTTCCCTTTGTATCCCTAGCTGTCCTGGAATTGGAATTATCTCTGTAGACCAGGCTAGCTTCAAACTCAGAGATCTGCCTGCCTCTGCCTTCCAAGTGCTGGGATTAAAGACTTGTGCCACCACTATCTGAATTATATTCTTAATTGTGCATAAGATGAGTTTCTGAAAAACCTCTACCTAGTCTAGGATGGAGATCACCACAGATCCCTGCAGACAAGGATGGAGACACCACAGATCCCCATAGACAAGGATGGAGACACCACAGATTCCTGCAGACAAGGATGGAGACACCACAGATCCCCATAGACAAGGATGGAGACCACCACAGATTCCTGCAGACAAGGAGCAAAATATGAGGTTACCAAGAGGAGCTGTTATCGCATCTTGGTAGTTGTGGTAAGAGTTAGCTCTCTGTGGACAATACAACTTGTAGGTTCATGGGAAACTACAAGCTGGCCATGTAACTGGAAACAAAGGAAGCATGTTATATTTAATGGCTAGCAGGCTCTGCCCAGAGACCAGTAACACCTTTAACTTTGGTGGTTGGAAGTGTCATCCAAGGTTAGTGTTAGCCAGCAGAATAAGCCAAGGTCATCAACTAGCAAATGATGGACTTGGGGAAGCAGTGGGCTAGCATATGGTTCAGCAGGAAAAGATGCTTGTTGTCAAGCCTGTTGATTTAAGTTTGATTCCTAGGATCCACATGGTAGAAGGAGAGAACCAATACCCAAAAGTTGTCTGCTGACCTCTACCCAAAACACTCTGCTGTGTACATGCATGCACACACATGCATGCCCACTCAAATACACATACACAAGTGTCTACATTTTTTTTTTGTTTTTTCGAGACAGGGTTTCTCTGTATTGTTTTGGAGGCTGTCCTAGAACTAGCTCTGTAGACCAGGCTGGCCTCGAACTCACAGAGATCCACCTGCCTCTGCCTCCTGAGTGCTGGGATTAAAGGCTTGCGCCACCAACACCCAGCTGTGTCTAAAATTTTTTTGAAATGGAAATAGTGGACTTCAGTGTGTGACCACCATCATAATTGGGTAAGAAGCACATGAATGGCATATAATCATCTCCATGGTTAGTCCACATACCAAGGACATGTGAGTCCCTGTTAGCTTAGCTTGTGATGTGCTCAAAGAAATAACCAACTTAATAGAAATTACCAGTCTTTCTCTGGTCTCTGTCATGTCCTATAAAATATCTCTAGTCAAACAGCTCAATGGCAACTCCGTTCAGCTGCTCTCCTTACGACCCAAAGTCAATCTTTCTTGTAATCCTCCTACACAGGAGCACTGATTGCCTTCTCTACATTAAATCCTTAAGCTTTCTCTCTTTCTTTCTTTTTTTTTTTTTTTTGGTTTTTCGAGACAGTGTTTCTCTGTATTGTTTTGGAGGCTGTCCTGGAACTCTCTCTGTAGACCAGGCTGGCCTCAAACTCAGAGATCCACCTGCCTCTGCCTCCCAAGTGCTGGGATTAAAGGCGGGCGCCACCAACGGCCAGCACGGTTTCTATAATAAAACTTTGAAAACTCATCCTTTGTCGTCCATCAATCCCCCCCCAGTTTTTGAGACAAAGGACCCAGAACCACTAATTCAGTGGAGGCTTTGGTGGCCATGAATTTGCAGCAGCGTGTACACTTGAGACCAGAAAGTCTGTCCTTTTCAGGGATCCCCATCTCCCCCATTTCAGGGACAGGGACATTTGCCAACATTTTGCTGCATGCCAGTGAGGAATTTGTGTTTTCTAGAAGTCTCCATGAGGCAGTAAAGAACCAAGACAGGAAACTAGCCCAGTCATGGCCAAGCTGCCTAGTGATGACCTGGAGGTTCCCTGAGGTCTGAGACTCACAGTAGCAGTTAGGGATGTGTGTTGAAGACTGGGAGGTAGAGATGGTATAGGTAGAGCCTGGTGTGTGTGCTAGACCCAGATACAGTGGTTTCCTCCCAGCAATAATAGAGGAGACGCCAAACAGAGTTACATACCTATGCCTCCAGCTTCAGGAGAAAGAGGCAGGAGGATTTCTGCCAGTTGGAGGCCAGCTTGGTCTATATAGTGTATAGGGTGAAAGTGAACAATGACCAAAGTGCTCATTGCAGAGGAAAACATGAAAGTAGACAATGGCAATAAGGGCCATTGTCCATTCTTTTAAAAATAAATGTCCCAGCCCAGGCGGTAGTGGCGCATGCCTTTAATACCAGAATTTAGGAGAGGGGTCGGGAACCTCCCGGAATTTAGGAGGAGCCTGCTTTTCCCAACCCCTCCCAGAATTTGACCTACTTTCTGTTACTCAGGCAACTCAATAATCTTTATGACAGTCCTGTTAATCATCCACTTGACAGAATCTATAATCACTTAGGAGATAGGCCTCTGGGAATGCCTGTGAGAAATAATCCTGATTGATGTGGGTGGGACCTTTCCTAAGCAGGGGATCCTAGACTGTAGAGAAAGCCATCCCAGCACTAGAGAGCATGCTTTCATTGCTCTTTTCTTCTGACTGCAGACTGGTGACCAGCTACTTCAAGTTCCTGTGGCCTCGACCTCCCTGTCATGACGGACTGTACCTTGAACTGCGAGCTAAAATAAACTCTTAGGTTGCTTTCATCAGTGTATTTTTTCATAGCAACAGAAAATGAAAGTAAGACAGCGCTTCCAAGAGTCCATTGCAGGTCAGCATGGAGACCTGATATGGTCTGGATTTCTTCCTTAGTTACTTTTCTGCTACTGTGAAGAGATGCCATGACCAAGAAAGCTTTTGGGAGAAAGAGTCAGCATTCAGGCATTTACACTGGCATGCTCTTAGGGACCTAATGGGACACAGCAGCAGCAGCAGCCAAGATGTGCAGCTGCTGCAGCCACCACGTAGAGCACTCCCTACACGCATGTGCTATATCCTCTTGTAAAAGGCAAGCCCTTCTCGCCCCTCTCTCTTTCCCTCTGCTCTTACTGGGAGGCTGCCTCTGCACCTCCCCCAATAAACTCCCACATGAGCTCTGTTGCATGGTGGCTCCAATCCACCAAGGTCGTTTTCTGCTACTAAACTATTATACTGGTGCCGAGACACCGGCAGGCCCTTCTGGTGGCTTCCCCTGCCTGCTGGCAGTCTGAGACACAGTGGAATCCTGTACCCAGCCTACATACAACAGGCTCACTTTCCAACTAACCGATCACTGAGTTTGAGACTTACAGTTTCAGAGGGTTAGAGTCTATGATCATCATAGCTGTGGAATATTAGAACTAGGCAAAAATATGCTACATTGGTTTATGCCGCAGAATATTACTTTAACGATGCAAAGATGTATTACATTTTTTGTACTGCATTTATTAACTATGTAAAAATGTGCTGTGCCGGGCAGTGGTAGCGCAAGCCTTTAATCCCAGCACTCGGGAGGCAGAGGCTGGCGGCTCTCTGAGTTCGAGACCAGCCTGGTCTACAAAGTGAGTTCCAGGACAGCCTCCAAAGCCACAGAGAAACCCTGTCTCAAAAAAAAAAAAAAGTGTTGCATTTGCATTAACTAAATAAAATTAACCTGGGTTTAGAGAGGCAGGATTAGCAACTGGTTGACAGGAAGGAGCAGGGGGGAGCTTAGTGTGGGGCATCGTGGAAGGGAGTGGCTTCCAGGACACCAGCAAATAGAGAAAGTTAACCAGTTACTATTCTAATTCTCTGAGTTTGAAGGTTTTTACTCTAGCCTTTGAATCTTGAGTTTTATTAGAATGAAAGAGATTTAGTTAGAACTGCCTTTAGCAGCAGCAACAGAGCCATTGTCTGGGGGAACAGAATCCCCCCAGGCTACTTACCAGTGGCCAGGCCTCTAGTAGTTTAAAGTACAACCGCTATAGCCAAGGTAAAACAGCACAGCATGGTGGGAAGCGCGGTAGCAGGCTTGGTGCTGGAGCGGTAGCTGAGAGCTACATCTTAATCCACAAGAAGAGAGAATCAGAAAGAAACCTCAAAGCCCGCTGCCAGTGACACACCCCCTCCAAGGCCACACTTCCTAATCCTTCCCAAATGGTACAACCAATCAGGGACTGAGTATTTAAACATACGAGCCTATTGAAGTTCATTCTCATTGAAACCACACACATGATGCCCTTCTCAGATAGACCCCACTATGTTTTTAGTATCTGTGGGCCTTCACATAGACAGCTGAGCCAACCATAGCTAAGGACAGAAGCTGGTCATCATGTAAAAGCCATACCAGAGGACAGCAGGGTCATTCCCAACTCAACTTAAAGGACTGTCACTACCAATAGTCACATTCCAGTGCTCATAGCAGACAGGAGGATAACAAAATGAACTGAAGGGAAGAATAGAATGCCTGGGCTAGTGCTTGCAGACTGGAATGCTCACAAGACGGAACACTCATGGGGTCATAGGGTCCGTGCAGCAGGGCAGCAGGGAGGCAAGCCTGAGTGGTAAACCTGTCTCAAGGTATACTCAAGAGTCACTTCCTCCAAAACACCCAGTCACCACCATGACCATTATCACCAGCTTAGTAGGGTCTCCTTGTTCATCAGCTACCTCTTGAACCTAGTGAGTACTTGGAAGATATAAAGTGGAGCTAACCTCAGCACCCTCTTCAGCAGCCTGTCTGTAATGGCCTAGGTGAGACCATGGAAATTTTATCTGCATATATGTATACGCACCATATGTGTGTAGGAACCCATGGAGGCCAGAAGAGGGCACTGGAGCACTGGAACTAGAGTTACAAATGGTTATAATCTACAGTGTGGGTGCTAGGAACCAAACTCAGGTTCTCTGCAAGAGCAGCAAGTGCTCTTAACTGCTGAACCATCCTTCCAGCCTCATGATTATCTCCTTTAAGCAAAGATGAATAGATGTGCAATAAAATGTACTCCAAATAGTGACACTATTTAATTAAAAAGGATTGGGTACCAGTCAGCCAGAGAGTACACCTCTAAACAAGTATGTTTTAAAGAAATTTTTTGTTTATTCTTTTGTTTCTGTTTTGCTAAGACAGGGTTTCTCTATGTAGCTCTGGCTGCCCTGAAATTTTACTTTGTAGAAAAGTCTGACCTGGAACTCAGAGATCCACCTGCCTCTGCCTCCCAAATACTGGTATTAAAGGTGTGTGCCACACTGCCTAGTGTACTTGTTCTTTTTTTGTTTTTTTGAGACAGGGTTTCTCTGGCTGTCCTGGAACTAGCTCAACTAGTCTCAAACTCACAGAGATCTACCTGCCTCTGCCTCCCAAGTGCTGGGATTAAAGGTGTGTGTTGGGGACTGCTAGAACCTTGAACAAAATGGAGTCTGTCAGCCATTTCTTGGCCTTCTGCCTACGTGGCTGCGGGCACATATGCCCTTGAGACAAAGGAAAAAGTTAACCACAAAAGTTAAATTTACGGCCGGGCGGTGGTGGCGCACGCCTTTAGTCCCAGCACTCGGGAGGCAGAGGCAGGCGGATCTCTGTGAGTTCGAGGCCGGGCTAGACCGATAGCCTCCGAAACAATACAGAGAAACCCTGTCTCGTAAAAACCAAAAAAAAAAAAGTTAAATTTACACAGGGCAGTCCACCCACCTAGCCAGGGGGAAGTAACCCTTATAGAACAATTGCCTTTGATTGGCAAAGGGTTAATGTGTTCCTTTGGATGCTTTTACCATAATGATAGGCGGAAGTAACCCTTATAGAGCAATTGTCTTTGTTAACAAAAGGTTAATGTGTTCCTTTGAATACCTTTTACCCCTCCCTAATTCCTGCACCTGGCTTACACTGACAAGCATTTGCGGAATGCAACTGATGGAAAATTAAAGCTTCATCTTTACCTTATTTGGTGTATATTTGAGTTGAGACTTGATTGGCATGCTTGTACCGAACCTGAGATTCTCTTCCTATAAAAACTATCTCACGAGCCGGGCGTTGGTGGCGCACGCCTTTAATTCCAGCACTCGGGAGGCAGAGGCAGGAGGATTTCTGTGAGTTCGAGGCCAGCCTGGTCTACAGAGCGAGTTCCAGGACAGCCTCCAAAGCCACAGAGAAACCCTGTCTCAAAAACCAAAACAAAAAACAAAAAACAAAAAACACTATCTCACTCCAAAAATAAACGCTCTTGATCAGCAAAAGTTGTCTTGAGCCTGTTTCCTTTAACCTCTTGAAGTTTGCTTTTTAAGATCGGATCTGCTCGTGAAGACCCACCAAATTAGTGGCGACCCTCATCACCTCATCCCCGTAGGTCGGGGGGCGGGGGGGGGGGGTCCCCTCCGGGGGTCGCAGGTGTGTACCACTGCTGCTGCTGCTGCCGCTGCCACCACCACCACCGCCGCCACCCAGTGTACTTGTTTATTCTTAAGAGACAAAAATTAAATGTGAATTTGTGTGTAAATGCAAACTATTATCAATAAATCATAATGTTCCAATACATACATATGCTTAGATTATTCATGATCAGCACTCACATACATATGCACAATGTGTGCATGGATGGGCGGGACACAGAACAACTTTGTAGAGCTGGTTCTCTCCTACTTATGTGGGTTCTAGGGAACAGACTCAGGCTGCCAGGTTCACAGGGCAAGTGTCTTCACTGGTTTGCTTTTTTTTTTTTTTTTAAGATTTATTATGTATACAGTGTTCTGCCTGCATATATGCCTGCAAGCCAGAAGAGGGCACCATGTGGTTGCTGGGACTTGAACTCAGGACCTCTGGAGGAGCAGCCAGTGCTCTTAACCTCTGAGCCATCTCTCCAGACCCAAAAGAGATCTATATCTCTTGTTTTTTTGAAATAGGGTTTCTCTGTGTAGCCCGGGCTGTCCTGGAACTCAGAGATCCACCTGCCACCACCACCTGCCATGTTTTAAAACAAACAAAACATTTAAATGTATTCTTGAGAAGTTAGGACAGTTTGATGATCCTGACATGCTGTCAATCATAATCATTAACCTAAAATGAATATGCAATGGAAAAACTTACACTGCTTGGTCAATTGCTAAGTTTTCTGCCAACTTCTACCCGTGGCTGTTCTGAGTCTTTTGTTATTCACAGTTTTGATCCCTCTCTAACAATTTCACAAACTCAGGGAATGACTCAAGCAAGTACTTTCAAACTAGTTTTTCTTTAACTATTTACTCTCCTTGAGTTTTTTATTTTCCTTTCAGAAATTGTAGCCAAGGCTAGTCTAGAACTCCCCAAGATGAAGCAAAATTGCCAATGACAGAAACACTGCATCCAGGAGCAGATCATCTTGGAGGAATCATGTCTGGACAGTAGGAGCAATCTATAACAACAATCTATTGGAGTGCCTTGTAAGATTCCAGCTGAGACGGGAAGAGCCGGTGTCATACCTTGACCAAGACAACTTAACTATGCATACCCCCCGCCATCCAGTTCTTCCTCTATTTTGACCTAGAAGTTCTGTCAGTACCCTGAAGATGAACTTGGGGGGATGGTGTCACAGGACCCGTTTATATCTTTCCAGTGTGGTCACACTGCATAAATTTTCTCTCCCTGCTTTCCCTTTAATTGGCATGTGGGAACAGTGGCTGAGCCTAACCTGCTGGGCCTGCTGAAGCAGGGCTTTTGCCCTGAAGCTGACAGCTGTGAAAATGCTCCACATCGTGCACTAGGGCGTATAAACACACGCCT